CAGGTAGCTGTCTTCCAGATTTCTTGGCATAGATGAGTGAGCTCCTCCAGCCCTACACCTATTTGTTGAACCATCTCAATTGGTATCCTGTCAATTCCTGGAGTCTTGTTTTTCGCCAGTGTCTTCAGTGTAGCTTGGACTTCTTCCTTCAATACCACTGGTTCTTGATCATATACTACCTCCTGAAATGGTTGAACATCAACCAATTCTTTTTGATATAGTGACTGTGTATTCTTTCCATCTTCTTTTGATGATTCCTGCTTCATTCAGTATTTTCCCCATAGAATCCTTCAGTATTGCAACGCAAGGCTTGAATTTTTTCTTCAGTTCTTTCAGCTGATTTGTAGGACTACCAAAATCTCAGGTCACAGATTTTCATGTGCAAGAAATGTAACTTCTTTCTTTCTAGGAAAAATGAATTTCTTTTCCATTGGGGGTAGAGTAGAAATAATCTCAGACAGTTTAGAATTTTTCCTATCCCTAATTTTCGTGCTGTACACACCTTTTGGAAAATTAACATATGGCCAAAGGGGAGGCAGAGGCTCATCTGATCCTAGGTGTTGGTTGTTTGAGCTTGCAATTCCTGAGGCTTCAATTGTCCTCTCATTTGTCTATACAGGTTGCCACTGAGTCTACCTGGGAAATGGAGCCCAGGCTTCTTCTGGGTTATTGGCCAATGTGAACTTGGCTTTCCCAAGCAGCAGCAGCAGACTTAGCCTGAAGGAACAGGGATCAGGATTCCTTTCTTAGGGACCCACCAATGGCTATGAATCTCTCTTTCCCTCTAAAGCTCCCTTTCAGCCTAGGGACTCTCTGTCTGTTTTTGTGGGGAGGACGAGGTGGGTGATGGTGGTGTGGAGATCAAGCACTTACCCTTCATATTTAAATCAATCGTCTATTCCCTGAATTCTTTCTGTTGCCCAAGGGGCTGGCTTTTGAAACCCAAAAGCCCCCCAAAAAAAACATTGCCGTCTAGTAGAAACCGTTGCTGTCTACTCAAAACCCATTGCTGTCAAGAGGATTCCAACTCATCACGACCCTATAGGACAGGGTGAAACTGCTGTATAGGGTTTCTAAGCCTGCCACATCTTTCTCCCGTGGAGCAGCTGGTGGGTTCAAACTACCAACCTTTCTGCTAGCAGCTGAGCACTTTACCCACTGTGCCACCAGGACTCCTAGAGCCTTGAAGGGACTCCTTTTTTCCTGTGTTCTGCTGTCACA